TGTGTGTGTGTGTGCGTGCGTGTACCATGCATGCATGCATGCTTGAATGCATGTATGTATGTAGGTTTGTGTACATATATATATATACATATATATTATATGTGTGTGTGTATGTGTCTACGTTTATACATATAACTTATATATATACACATATATATATAGTTACGATACTCTATATATTTCGCTCTATGTGTATGCGTGTATACTGATGTGTACATGTGTAAGACGGGTATTGAGAGAGCGAGCGAGCGAGCGCCAGAATGAGCGACACATGCACACATACAAGTACTGTGTGCCTGCATGTAGGCATACATGAATCATAGGTCTACCGGCTCATCAACTCCTCTCACCTTGAATGAACGTCTATCAGCAAACAGGTGCTTCATCACAATTTGTGTGGAACCAGAGAGTCTCACCATAAATGCTCCAAGGATACAGGGGTGGGTGCATAAAGTGTTGAGCATTTCTTGGGTGCCACAGATCAAACACCGGCCCAGGCCATTGGCACGGAATGCAACAGTCAAGCATGGCGAAAAGAATCGATGGCGAGGACGGTTTGAAGATTGGCACACACTCAATGGCAAGATCAATGGGGGCGTTGGTGATACGAATGCGTGTCTGTGACGGAAACCCACCCGTGAGGGTACAGAATGAGTAGCGCCACCTCCCAGCCACAAACCCTCAAGAAAACTGAGCCATGGCAAGCATAAGAAGACAACTTAGCCACGATAAACGTAACGTGGTAACAACACTTGGCAAACCTGTACCACGAATACAGGGGCCTCACTGATTCGACAAGTTTTGGGGGTCCTTGTTCTGAATAGTAAATGTTCAGTCTTCTAAAATGTCTGTGAGAGCAATAACCACGCTCATGATAACCAAACTCTGCAGCCGGCTGAGGCCGGAACCAGACTTCCACCCAATTGTGGTTGCCACCGGTGGGGATCTGAGTGCTGTACGGATTGAGGGGTACAGGTTCGCGCTGGTTTGGGCTGCTCTTGCTTTAGCAGTGCGGGGCTCAAAGCACTGTCTACATACGGTATGAAGTTGCAGAACGACGCCCCACTTCAACCCCAAAACGGGAGGCGAGTTTCTGAGCTGCGCCATGTGGCTCAGTTGCTGAAACCGCAAGTAGGCCCGTTTGTCGAAAGAGTGTTGGCCGCTTCAGACAGTACTCAAGCTCGGCCTGTTCGAGGCTCGCAGTTCGACAGATTCGTCCGGTAGGATTGCTCCAGATTTCAGCAGCAATCTGGCTGGGCATCTCATGTAGATTCCGTGAACTGGTGAAAAGCACAAGCCTTCCCTGAGGCTCTGGCATTCCACTGTGGTGTGCCGGCCTAGA